CCTCCCCGGTGGCACAGCGGTTGAGCGCTGGGTTGCGGAGCTGCCCGCAGCCTTTGCGGCTCAGGTTCGATCCCCGGCTGCTCCCCGGCCACCAGAGGAGGGTCCCACATGGTGCAGACCTCTCCTGCCGCCTGCTGCTCCCCTCAGCAGTGTACTTCGGTCCTTCTGCCTGCTCTGCTCCCCGCTCTGGCTCTGGTGAATTCTCTCACCCTCCTGCGCTTCTGACTGTACCCAGTGTGTGTAGAAATAAACAAACAAACAAACAATAAATAAATAAATCTTTAAAAAAAAAAACCCAACACATCTCTACCTCATGGAATGTATTGGGGGCATATGGAAGAAAGACAGTGGACATTATGAGTTAATTATACAATTTGTGAAGGGTACGGTAGAAAAACAGCAAGTCAGTGGAATGAGGGGTTTGGAATAAGAGTGGTCAGGTTAACCCTAATGACAAGTGAGTTTTAAACAAACAAGTGAAAGTCCTGAAGGGCCAGGTAAGAGGCCACCTGGGAGAAGAGCCATCCCAGAACAGCCCAAGAGGGAGCCTTTAGTATTCCTGGAAGGAAGCCCTGGGAAGCCAGCTTGGCTAGAAAAGATAAATAGTAGATGAAGTTGGAGAGGAAACAGGAGCAAAACCTTTAGCTTTCTGTAAGCCAGTGCAAGTCCTGTGGCCTATACTCTGACATGGGGAGCCAATGGAGGGTTTGATTTGTATGATTTCACTACTTTTTCTGACAAGATCACACTAGTTCCTATGTTGAGAATAGATTATAGGTGGGCACAGATAGGAGCAAAGACATCTTAAGATACTAACTTATTGCAATAAGCCACCTAAGAGATGACAAAGACTCATACAAGAGTGGGAGCAGAGGAGGGCACAAAAATTGCTCAGAGTTGGCTACATTTTGAAGATAGGACCAAAATGATGTGAGGGGAAGAGAAGCCAAGACTACTCCAAAGTTTAGCCTGAGTGAGTCAGACCTGCATTCGCCAGATGCAAAAGGCTGAGAGTGGGCAGACTTGGAGGGGGTGATACCAGAGGCATGTGAAGATGATGATGTCGCGTGTAGGTGTAGGTGCCTCGGACAAAGCAAGACATGAGTCTGGATCCCCACAGAAAGTAGAGCTACAGGGCCTCCCCTGGTGGCGCAGCGGTTGAGCGCTGGGCTTCGAAGCTGCCCGCAGCCTCTGCAGAGCTGGTTCGATCCCTGGCCACCAGCGAGGGTCCCACATGGCGCACAGACCTCTCATGCCACCCACTGCTCCCCTCAGCAGTGTACTTCATCAGCCTGCCTGTTCTGTTCGCAGCTCTGGTGAATTCTCTCACCCTCCCGTGCTTCTGACTGTACCCAGTGCTTGTATAAATAAATAAATATTAAAAAAAAAAAAAGGAAAGTAGAGCGACACTAAATGCCACCCTGAAGTCAGGACATTGGGTGAGATGGCCAAGGGAATGAGTGCAGAAATAAAAGACCAAAGACTGAACTCTGGAGAAGAGGCAGAACCAGCAAAGGACGATGAGAAAGAACAGTCAATGAGCCAAAAGCCAAGAGTGCGAAGTCCTGGAAACCAAGGAAGAAAGAGTAATCAGGGGTGTCATATGCCACCAACTGGTTAAGAAACTAAAAAAGAGAACTCAAAAATAGCCACTGGATTTAATGAAGAGCACCCTGATGAGAACAGGTCAGAGTGACAGCTGAAAACTAACAGGCATTTTGTTTTCATGTAATTTAACAAAATGCCTTTAGTTTTCCTCCTCTCATCTCTCATTCCCTGCCACCTCACATTCAAGCCAACAGTCCCTGAGACACCACCCCCCCACACACACACACAAACACAGAGAGCGTGCTCAAAATGAGTCAGAATCCAAACCAAGGTCATCAGAACTTCCAGAACTTTGTTTGTTTGTTTGTTTGTTTGTGCGCTATGAGTCCTTGAGCAAATTTCTTAATCTCTCTAAATCTCCTCCCATATAAAATGGGGATAATATATAACTCATAGGCGGATAAGTTGTTGTGAAGATTAAAAAATAGATAAAAAAAAATAGATAAGTCCTACATGGCTCATACACATAGCAAAACCATACCTCTGGTAGTTGTGACATTGTAAGTGGTAGTTAGTAGTAGTGGACGAAATTAGAGACAAAGAGGCCTCCTCTAGCACTTCAAACTCTCTTTAAGCTTTGGGGTCACATTTAAGTTTATGTCCCATACTGGATTGTGTGTCAGGGGTGGGGTGGGGCTTTCTTTCTGGTGGACCCTTAAAAAGTTTACCTTTGTGTCAACAGGTCTTTGTGGGTCTAAAAATTAGTGAGAAGAAGCAGAAACTGATCTTAATTTCTAGTTGAAATTTTCCAGAATTTACCACAAACACATTGTGTTAGTGCTCTGCCACTTTTGGGTGTGTATTTTTCCTCCTTGGGCCCTCGGCTTAGAATGTGCAGTTTGAAGTGACTGGACAGGATTCTCTCTAAGGCCTCTTCCAGCCCTCATATTCTTTGATGCTGTGACTTGTATGAAAGCGAACAAAGTTGAAAACATGTTTCATTCACTCACAGTGAATGAATCACTCTAAGAATCACCAGTACATTAGATAAAGACTATAGTTGGGCCTCTGGCTGGAGTCTTACCTGCTTTTGGGAAGGTTCCAAGGAGCTTAGGCTTTAAATCATTGTCAAATGTTGTGTCTATAAAACATTAGTAAAGAGAAAAGAAATCAGATAAAATGGAACCTTATATTATTTCAGTCTAGCCAATGTCAGATTTTAAGGAAATTTGTGAGCCAGTTGGTTATCACATGGGTAGCTTGAAATCAGCAATGGTGAGTGTGTTCATGCCATGGAAATCAGTGAATACTACAAATTATGCTTTCACCCCTGTAGGGTAAATAAAAGGTATCAGGCTTTTCTGCCCTCCCGCCATCAGGATGGATGACGGATCCTTGCGGCCCTGAATGCATGCCTGATGGTGGGCACCTGGAGTGGGGTGTGGGCAATTGTAAGTGGGTACACCTGGCTGAGACTGGGCTTCTAAGGGTGGTGCCATGGGGATGCCAGAGGAGAGCAGAGAGCAGAAGAGAACGAAAGAGCGAAAGCGAGCCAGAGTGAAAGAGCTTCCAGAGGTACAGCAAAGTGAAAAGAGCAGAATCACCAGAAGAACCAGAAGCGAGAGAGCCCAGAAAGCATGAAGACTTGCTAGGGGCTGGGAGGCCTGCCAGCCCCCCCCTCCCACCCCCACCTGCTCTATACCTGGTAAATCCTAATAAAAGCCTGCAAAAACCACCGAGGGCTCCAGAACTCTCTTTTACCCCATCTGCTCAAATAATAAGAATTCTGCACTGTACCCTTCCTGCCACCACAGCCCCCCCCCCCCCCCCCAGCTGGTTGTGAAGCCTTTCCCAGCACCACGCTGCCCTACTCCTACACCACTCCAAGTCAGGCCATTTCCCGCTGCCCTTTCAGGGCCAGCCTAAGAAGGGTTTTTGTTTGCTTTTGTCTCAGCGCTTAGTTCATTCCCTGGCTTCAGGCTAAACTCTCTCCTTACAGCCAAAGCCCAAAAGCCCAGCCCTACTTCTCCCAAAGTGACCTTCTGGGCCACCCCTAGCTCCTTCCATCCCAATCAACTCATCCTTACCAGCTCTTTCTCTCTGAGGTTCTAAAAGTACCTGCCCCACCTCCTTTTCTCACTGTCCCTCTCATACCCCAGTATCACCACCAGCCCAGTCAGTGTTACTATTCTGGACTGTGGAGTTGATGTGGTTTAACATGTTATTCTTCACATCTCTGTGAGGTAGCAACTATTGTTACCTTTACAGAAAAGGAAACTGAGGGCTCCTTGGGGTTAAGTAACTGCTACTTTCAGTTTAGCCTTCCTCTCCAGGATTCCCACAGCTTTCCTCAAGTCAACTTTAAGGCTCTAATTTCAGAATCATTGTCTTCTCTCCAAAAACATTAATGGGCAACCACTCTTATATCTACAACTTTAATTGCATGTTGATTTCCACAAGTCACCCAACACTGGGATGGCCCCAGATCCTTCAGTTATAAGAGAGTGACAGAAAAAGGCTAGTGCAGAGTTCTAACAGATGGGGGACCTGGGCTCAGAGGCCTCTGCTTTTTTTTTTTTTTTTTTTTTTTTTTAGTATTTTTCCAATTTGATCTCTAGCCTCTATACTTTTTCCTTCCCCTCCAGCATATTTTGTTCTGATAGAGTCAGGGATATAAACCATTTAGAAACCATGAAAGGTCTTTGTGTCTGTTAGATCAAGATTTCCTCATTTTAAATTACATACTTCTTTGTTTTTGTAAGTTGTGGTCCCTACTGACCTTTAAAAGGGTTATGTGGAACAGTCTGTAGCTACAAAAATCAACTTGCTTACTCTGTTGAGCAGCTCTGTTTGTACCAAACCCAAGGGACTGGGCCAGTTCACATACTGTGGAAAAGAAAAAAAGAAGGTGGGATTCTTTGTGTTCAAAACAAAGCAAAAAAATTTAATTCAGACCGCTCTTTCTCTTTACTCTGCTCAAAATGTAAACGAAAGTTGTTTCAGAGAAAAATAAAAAAGAACACGGGATGTAGGTCACCTAACAAGCTATGAAACCTGTTTCCTTGATGCTGCTTTGCTCAGTCGCATCGGGGTTCCACAACCTCTGATCAGGGCTCAGGCAGCCTGCAATGGACTGAATATTTGCAGCCCACAAAATTCCTTTGTCTTAACCTCCACTGTGATGGTATTAGAAGATGGGCCTTGGGGAGGTAATTAATGAGATTGGGGCCCTTAAATGGGATTAGTGTCCTTATAAAAGAGACCCCAGTGCAATTCTTTAATCTCATATAAACATGCTTTGCCTTTTTAATTACCTCTTGAATTTTTTGGATGACATGTGACAGCAGTATTTTGAGTGAAGGGAAAGACTAATCCCAAGGACATTGTTATGGAAGCTGAAGAGAATAAAGTCCAGCTATCAGGTAAAGTAGTGGTTACTTACTTAGCAACAGAATCATTCTGATCGCTAGAGACAAAGACAGAATAAGTCAGGGGCAGAGGGTTGGGAAAGCAAATATTAGAATAAGAAAATACTGAGGTGAGGACTTTATTGACTCCTCAGTGGCAGGGGTGACCACTCCCAGAGCCATTATGACTACTAAGTACTGGGAACTCTGGTTTCTAGTGTGTAGTAGTGTGACCTTTGACAACAACGTACCTAGCCCCACTGTGCCTGAGTTCCCCCATCTGCAAAATAAGATTATACCTGCTCTAAAACAGTCTTGTAAAACGATCACTGAATTGAGATGTGGGAGATTTGGATTCTAGTTCTAGAACAGCTGGCTGATTGGATTTAGTTCCATCATTAGTAAAATCAAAGATAGACTCAAAGTTTCCTTACATGATGCTGCCATTTTATAGTGTGAAATTGTAAAGATTTTCTAGAAATGCAAAATTACTTTTGGAAAAACCTGAGGATGGAGATATATTTCGAGGGGAATCCACAGGTGATTAGAGATCTGAAACTTCCAGTTCCACCCCTGCATCTCAGGGCAGGGAGATTTGGAGCTTGAATCAAAAGTCAGTGATTTAATGGATTATGTTTCTGTAATGACGCCTTATAAAAACCCAAAAGGAGGGTACTTCAGAGAACTTCCAAGTTGGTGAGCTTGTGGAGATTTGGGGACAATGGTGCACCGAGACAGGGCATGGAGGCTTAGCATCTTCCCCTAAATCATCCCCTGTGCGTCTCTTCCCTCTGGCTGTTCCTGAGTTACATCCTGTAATAAATTGGTCATCTAGTGAGTAAACAGGTTTCCTAACTTCTGTGAGCCCCCCTAAGTAAATTAACTGATCCCATGGCTGGCTTCCTGGGAATTTCTGATTTATAGCCAGTTAGCCAGAAGCACAGGTAAGAGTCTGGGCTTTCGACTGGCATCTGGAGTGGAGGGCAGTCTTGGCAGATGGAGCCCTTAACCTATGCAACCTAATACTATCTCTGGGCAGATGGTGACTCAGCTGAACTGACTTAATTTCTCAGCCATCCTGCTGGTGTCAGAGAATTGCTCATTGGTGTGGGGAAGTCTCCACGTACACTCCCATTGGAACTGGGCCACGGGACACTCTACATTACCTCATCTCTTATTTCCTCAACCCCACCGCTGGTCTCAGTCTCCTACATCCTTAAAGTTCCTAATCCACCCCTACCTGTTCACTCCTGGCAGATAATCTAGATTCCTAATTAAGTGATAGATGAAGGGGTCTGACCTGAGCTCTATCTGCCCCCACCAGGAAAAGCTGAATTGAAATTAATTCAATTTTAAGCATCTATTCACTGCATTGAGCAATTTACTCACTGAATTGAACTTCATTTCAACTCTAAGTATCCCACTATCCAGCCATCACCTCCCACCTTCCTAGCACTAGAAAACCAATCCCAACAACCCTTCCACCTAATGTAACAAGGCAATGATCCTACCACCTATGTGCTCACCCCTTTCCTTCCAAGGTCCATCATTAAGATTGTGCTCCTGCTTACACCTGCAACTCCCTGGCTTTTTTTTTTTTTTTTGGTTGTACACACTTAGCAAAACCTCAAAGCTGATTAAATCTCACCCTGCCTACCTCATGCCTGCAGGGCATGTCTGTGGCAGGCTGATAGGTTCATTTAAAATTCATGACTACTAACCTCCAGTGAGCCTTGCATTGCTCAGCAGTGACACTGTATTTCTCTTAACCTCTTCATTTTCCTATTCTCCTAAGTCTTTTTATATCATCCCTGCTCTCAAACCTCTAAAACATCCTCCTCCTTTTTTTTTTTCATTCTCCCCATTCTCACTCCATAGCTTTGTATCCTTGTTGACTGAGTAAACAGAAGCAACCACAAGAGACTGCCCACAGCCCCCCCTGCTATACCTTCCTTGTTCAAATATAATTTCAAAAAAATTTAAAATCATGACTCATATACATACAGAATCAACATATGTCCAAAATTTATTAACCAAGGATCCGTAACACTGTAATCTAAACAGGGGAGGCTCCATGTTCCCTGCCCCACCTAATGAAGGGTGGAGCTGAGCACCCAGGGAAGCTAAACAGGCTTGGGAGTGAAGACAGGAGGCACACAGAGCAGAGAGACATGTGAAGACGCAGCCGCACTGGCTTCTCGGTCTTGGACTTGCACCGGGGACTTGGGGGACATGGACGCAGACTTTTTGACGAGTGACAGACCCACAAGGGGGCTGACAATGGCAGCCTTCATCATCGTGACTTGTTCTTTGATTTACTCCTTTCCTTCCAGACTTGCCTGCCCCTTCTGCCCCTTTCCCCTGGTTCCCCACTGGAAGGTGCCTTAGACCTGTGGCAAGCTTTTGGGCCAACCCTGTTTGGCTGGGAATTTAACCATGAGGGGATGGGTAACTTTGAGTGTTTTATTATAAACTATTTTCCTTTCTTCTCTGCTCTCTATTGCACACTACTTCTATTCAAGTTCTTTTCTATTGGAGCTCACACATTAAGAGTATTTTTTTAAAGATGTATTTATTTATACATACAAGAACTGGGGTACAGGCCAGAGGTGTTGGGGGGGGTGTGTGTGAGAGGATTCACCAGAGACAGAGCAGGGAGCAGAACAGATGGATTGACTGAAACACACTGCTGAGGGGAGCAGTGGGGAGTCAGGGGAGGTCTGCTGCACCATGTGGGTCACCTTCCTGGCTGGGGATGTGCTGCAGTGGCTGCGGATAGCTGTGTCTCAGGCCCTTGTGCCACCAGGGAGGCCCCTAAGAGAATGTTTTGTCTTTATGTGGTGGATACCACATAAACCAGCAGAAAAAGGCAGAACCCTATTGAGAGCATGCAAGATTTGGGGCATCTCAGGGTACCCCTCAGTTTGCCCACTAACAGCACCAGTAGAATAATAAAGCTTGCGCAAAATGCATTTGAGGGACAGGAGTTTATATATCTTATTAGGAAAACACTTAAAAAGTATTAGAACCAGATTGCTGGGTTAGATGCAAAACTAGTTATCTCGCTCAAGGCAAAAACAAACAAACAAAAATAAACAAAGCCGTATTCTGTGGGGCTATCTTTTCTGTAGGACAGAAATCATTTCTATTTCTCTTAGACAGACTATTTATATTGCTAGACATTTTCTATAAAAAATAAAGTTGTAAAATATTCTAATTGATAGTAAGTAGAAAGTGAAGCAAAGCTACCTTTCCCCTAGAAAATGAAATATCCCCTAAGAGGCTGCTGGACAGAGCAGACAGAGCACAGCAGGTACCCAGAAACCTGTTTTCCAGATTTAGGATACTTTTTCTTTATGCTCTACCTATTTGTGACTATATTCAAATTGCTTGTCCTCCAGCTACTAAACTCTCCATGTTCTCATTCGAGGGCAAACTCTCCATTTGTGTATTCTATCCCATCCATTTTTGCCTACTCAAGAATGTTACTCTAGTGATCTCTTTTCTATCTTTTGCATCAATTTCCTCCTCTATTTGATGTTTTCTTTTAGCATGAAGACATGCTAGAATGCTTCCATCTCCAAAACAACCTCTATTGATTTCACTTCTGCCTATCACTACTACCCATTTCTCTCATTTTTTTTAAGATTTATTTGTTTGTTTATTTTATTTATTTATTTATTTATTTATTTATTTATTTATTTG